ATCAAAGAGAATGTTTCTAACTAATGTTTAAGTAAGATTAATTTTCAGGATTGAATGTGTGTGTGAGATTGATCGCAGCTGTGGACCACAGAGAGCCTCAGCAAGAACCATCTTCTTCAAGGTGCTCATCATCAATGTAAGACAGCGCCAGGAATATTCTTAAAGTGTTCCTGGCCCTGTTCAGTTTTCTTCTGCTGGCTTCTAGGTATAAAAGCAATAGTTTGGACATGGAACATCACTGCTGCGGTTAATAATTGTATTTCCTCGGGAAAGATATCAACAGAATTTTAAGACTAAGCCCTGAGAAAGTGGGAAAGTCCTCGAATGCTTGGTTTCCTAATATTAAGTATTTGTTAATAGTCCTTCCAGAAATAACTGATTTTAGCTTTAAGGGAGCATGGACTGAACAACATGAAGGAACTAGTAAGTTAGATATTTAGATCGGAACTATTCTAGAATACGACCAGAGTGTGCCACTTATCTACATGGCATAATGGCTGCCTGGCAAACGTCTTAAAAACTGTATAGAAGGTCTAGATGGCTCGAGATTTAGCGAGCGCCATAGTAGGAGGAATTGGTGCAGAAACTGGAATACTAAATTAATTTGACATTGAAACATTCACACCTGAAGTAAAATGGGGAGGATTTTTGAATTGTGTACAGGGCAAATTGGTAATAAATTTCGGACTGTTGTGTGATGCAGCCACAATAACTACCTGGAATAGCCAATTGTGGCATGTGGTTAAAAACAACTGCTGAGTTAAAAAAATAATAAAAAAAAAAACCCACCTTGGAGGGTTTTTGTACAAGATCTCTGGCCATCTATTGTATTTGAGCACAATTGTTAGCAGTGAATAGGTGTTAAGAAGGTTTTTATAATGGATTAACTTCTTTCTCATCAGGAGTACAACAAAGAGATCCCATATTACAAGGTTTAACAGATGGGTGGTACAGATTTTCTTCTTGGTTTGGATCTTCAGTAATAGGCTGGGGGTTAGGAGATGCATTACAAGAAGGACATGAACAGTGGGATATTAAACCTTGCCTCAGCTTACCAAAAGTCTTGGGTAAAGGGTTATGGGAACATCAGTTAAAAAGGGAATGGTGTGCAAATAAGAATACAAGAAGTTTGACCACCCAGTGGTTGAAAGTGGACAACTAAATGATATGGATGTATTAGTTCTGCATGATCTATTGAGCCTTGTGGACCACAGGAGGGTATTGTCACATCTCGATGGAAACAAGTTAGCATGAACTCCAATGGTATTTGGTTACAACGTGGGTTGTGTATGTGTTGCCTTATAATGGTAGAGTGGAAGGATAACACAGCCTATGTACCTCCAGCAGAAGAACATAGATGTGGTATCACATTTGTCGCCATAGCCGGTGTTGTATATTCGGTTGCCTTGCAGACTGTACTTTCTCAAAAGCCGAGTTCTGTTCCAGTCCAATGGACTAATGGCATCCGTCTGGGAATTAACTGACCTCACAGGACATGAGATATTCAGACAAAATGACAGCATACAGAAAGAAGCTGAGAAACCAGAGCGCACGCAACAAGTTGTAAGCCTGATGATCACCTTAAAGAACAAGAAACTGTCAAAACTGAGGACTGATAGTGAACTGTTTATTGTACGTCATTGGTATGACGTATTCGTGGGGGTTGGCCTCCAAAAACTACTGCTACGCTACACTTACTACACTTAATCCTGCAGCTGTTAATAGTTATGACAGAAGTATTGTTATTCTTTATCCTTTTATTGTCTCTATATCTATCTTTTATTCTTTATATGTATGCTTTGCTTGGTTCAAAAGAAAAGAATGCACTTATATGCCCAGTTGAATTTCTTACATACGCTGATATCCTAACAGATGTGGTGGATTCCAGCCGGAAGGGATTGAGCTCACGAGCATCCAGAGTGGTCTGAGCGTCCTTGGAGGAGGTCAGTCAGACCAGGGGATGACTTGTGAGTAAGAGGTCCCGCTGGAGCGCATGGCCCCCAGGAGCGGAGGCCCAAGCAGCTGCCCCCAACAGCATGCAGCAGAGGGGTGAAAAACAAGTTTCTCTGCTGCTCTGGTATGTAAACTGGCAGATAAAGGGCTGCATGCGCTCATCTAGAGCTTGTAGAAGAATCAAGGCTAAAGTAGAATAATTATGTCTAGTCACTGGATGAAGTAAACTGACTCCAACCAGATAAAGATAGGGGAGCCAGGCTGCACACACTTAGGTAACTGTATCAGTAATACCATATAAGGCTGAGATCGCCTAGATAATGGTATCAGGAATACCAAATTTAGGAATAGGTGTAACAAAACTGGGAGCACTGGGGAGAAAGTATTTCAGAATGGTTTGGTCAAAAGAAAGGAGGTGCAATAGTGGCAAAAAGGTGGGTCCAAAAGCAGGAAGAATGAAGCAGAAGGCATAGCATCAAAGACCAACAGCGAGTAGCTTTTTCAGCAGCAGGAGTGTGGATGCCTACAGCTGGCAGCAGCACTGACCTGTGGACCCAAGGCCACCAGGACACTGAAGGACCTGCCTGGAATAACCTGCTGGACTCCTGTCAGTCTGTGACCATAAGACTTGGTATGGGGGGAACAGACTGGCACTTCGATACTTAAGAACTGTAACTGAACATTGGCCATACATGCGATTGATTCGATTTATGATTAGATTTATGATCTATAACTCACAGCTCTGTATTTTTGCATTGTGGTCTGCCTATGTAACTGTAATTAAGTCCGCATAACTGTGTAACTATGAATTAATTTTAGTGGTATGTTACATAGCTTATTGATCATTTCAGTGCTGTGCCAGTTTCCTAGTCATGTCTTCATCAATCAATAAATGTCCTAGTCAGCTTGCTTCACTTATGTCTCACGTCGCTGATCTGAAGGGGTTTGAGTGCCAAACCTTGGCACAGTCGCAGAGTGTGGTCCACACCAGGAGAGGGCTGTGTGCCACAAGCCTTCCACTGAACATATCTGGGCAGCAGGCCTGGACATCCCAGAAAGCACAAGAATATCAGGATGGCACGTGCACAGGAAAGCCACTATTAGTGTGCCTGTGCACAGCTGAATAGGTAGAGATGGATGTAGTAGTGGCCAGGTTCAAATTGCTGATAACCATGACAAACCATGCAGGCTATGACTAGTTCCCAGAATGCTCCCACTCTGCCCCACGTGAAAGAGAGGCACCAAAAGCCTGCCAAGCTGTCAGAGCAGATGTGGTTTTCAGGGGGACACCCAGCATCTCCAGCTGCCTGAGAACAACAGCGGTCCCTCAGGGCCACCAACTAAAGTATGTTCAACTTGCAAAAGTAAGAGTGATAGTAAAGCTTTAGCTTCTCGTGCTGCTGGGTCTTACATCAGGGACAGACTAAGTCTATCCTCGAAGCATTTCAAACGAAGCAATTCACATTAATTTCCATTGCTTAAAAATATGAGTCTTACAAAAGAGTAAAAATAAAATTTAATAAGGAAGTTCTTTTTCTGGTCATGCTCCTTCTCTGTATTTCCCATAAAATAGCATAAACACAACATAATCAACCTTTTCCCATATACATATATGTATATATTTAAATAGCATAGGTTCCTGACATTGTTCCTGACTCAAGAAGCGTCCTCTCAAATATAATCACAGTAAAAAGAACAATAAATATATAGAAGTATATTATAAACCAGTAATTACTTAGGATGCTTCAATTTTGTGTTGTTATAATTAGCATAAGCTATAACAATGGTGACAGTCAAAACCAAACCTCTTCGAGGTATGCACAATTACCTGAAGGACATTGTCGAAAGTCCAGCATATTCCTCCACTTAAAAATAAACAAACAAGGTATACCCCTTGCAGTCAGTAGATGGCACTGCATTATTACTATTACTTGCAATTTCCAGCTAAGTCAGAAGGTGGGATAAACAGAAACACCCAGTCTCAGCTCCAAAGAACTCATAAAAGTAATCAGAAGTCAAGAGATAGCACATGGATACAAACGGATGGATAGGGCAATGCAGGGAAATACAGAGATTTTCCCCAACAGGCCATGAGCATCTAGAGACATTCTGCACTCGTAAATCACAAAGCAACTCTGCCTTACTCATGCCGACGATGACTGTGACTTTACCAACGCTCCTGCTGCCTCTGAAGCTGGCAGGTAGGTGCTTCGGTAGAGTCATGGTCTGTGGTGACAATCAACAAGCGCTAATCAAAAGTTGACTCTCTGTCACTTTGCCCAATTTGCAAATCACCTGTATAGCCAGAAGCAGGGACTTTTTTTTAACCATTTCTGTTTGAAAAAAATTTCACTTACCTGGGAGGAGATACAATCTACTTAAACTGAAATAATTACACAAAGAGAGCTTTTTGAAAGAGTAGTCTGATTCTTCTTCCAATTTCCCTCATGCATCAAACAATCTTGATGCATCAGTGCCAAGCATCTTGGATGGGAGAAGGGGCGAGAGCAATACCGAGGACGACAGAGGCAGAGAGCCCACGGTCCCTGGGCCTGGGGGCAACGTCAGCCCCCCTTCTTCACTGCTGTTGTCTCCTTCTTGTATGAAACGCTCCATTTGCTCTGTTTCGGTAAGATTATGGCGTGCAGAAGCTGAATGACACCTGGTAGGATAATGAGACAACCCCATGTCTGCCTCCCAGACCAGGACTTGCTGAGAGCAACAGCTGCTCCCCATCTCCCCTTCCACATAATTTGGCACAATGGGGCTGGCGGTGGACATGTGCTGCTATGGAAAAACACAACTAGTTGCCTTTTTTCACCTGAACAGGCACTAGACCTATTCCAGCTCTATGTTTTTTTCCAGGTACTTGTGTTCTGTAGTTCAAATTTTCACTGCATATTTCAAAGGACAACTGAAAGCACCCAGCACCATTCTGAATTTGGTCTGTCAGAGCTGAAGGAAAAAGAAAACTGCAATAAAGTCAGTCCCAAAACACTTAAGTCTAAAATTAAAGTTTATTTTAGTTTTAGAAGGAAACAGGAAAATAAGTACATGAGTATCTCAATTACACAAGTGACAGCGTGTTATTTCTTTTCAATGTGTAGTTCCCACTACTGCCTGGCACTTTGAGACTTGATGTATTTGTCAGTCAGAGCTTTTTAGAGTGTTTTACACTGCACACACACACAGAAACAGCTTCCCGTGCAAATCTAGGCAATCTTAATTCACCTCAAAAATCAATTACTTAATTTGGTTCAGTACTCGGTATAGAAAATAAAAGTGCATCATAAACATGACCTTGACTATGTTTGCAAACTACTTGGATAAGCAATTCATTCTAAAAACAAGCGTCCTCCATTCCCACCGAAGTAAAATACAGTTGAGAGAGAAAAGTGAGTGTGTGTAAAAGGGATAGAGGTGAAAAGAGAAAGTTTCTTTGAAAGTGTCTCCTCAAAGTATCCGAGCACCAAGCTCCTAACCATTGTTGGTTACTGTTACAGGAAGCTCTAACCACTTAGAAGTTATTTTCTGGGAAATTTACTAATTATTTTAACAGCAAAAGTCCTTGTTTCTTCCCATTGTATTTGTTTTGGCAGCATAACAAGAGGCTGAACATGAAAGAGCAGTATGCCCTGATACACCGTGTTGCCTGACTAAGGCAGTGCTTTGTCTACAATATTTTAACATGTTTTCCTCCACCATCTAAACACCTTACTCAGCACTCCTCCCCAGCCCCAGCTCAACGCGCCATCGCTGGGAACTCTGCTCGATCAAGGGCAACCAGCCTGCATATGCAATCCTTTGCTTCGCACATTTATGTACGAATCAAAGAGTACAGACGATTGATTGACAAAACGTACAAGCAGTAGACTCCTCAGCCAGTGTGTTAGCTGTATGTAATAAAGTCTGAAAAATACTTGCTTTCAGTATCATACAGGGTCTTATTATTTCTTAATTTGCCTGACTCAATTTGAATGATTAAACTCTGCTTTCTGTCATTAACTCAACCCTTTTCCATTTAAAGGGTTCCAAGCAGAGCACATTAAGCACATGAGACCGCTTAAGCGCTTCGCTGGACTGGGACTAGGGAGTCCAGCACCTTGCAGGACTGAGCATGGGCAGAAAGCTAACACACTCCACACCTCCCTGCAAAAACACGAAAACCTGTAAACCAACCAACCAAAAAAGTCACCAGAAAGTCACTCTCCATGCCTGATTCTGGACTCAGAGTTCAGGTGCTTATATTAGGAAGTTAGGTCTCCCTACGCTCCCTGTGTGCTCAGCAAGGCAGAAAACCTCTCTGCCAACAGGCAATACACAGGGAAAAACATCCTTTGCTATTTGCTGATTATATGGGGTAGAAGAACTAGTTTCCCTAATTCAGCATTAAGGACAGATGCCTCACATCAGGAGGCATCACTTATTCCAACTGAAGCTCCCATTCAGCAAAATTGTGTACTGTATATTGTGAGATTGTGTACTAGATGTAGTACACCGGTGTTTGCTCTCAGAAATGTAATGATTAATACAGAAAAGAAATGCCTTTGACAGAAAAGGTGGTTAAAATATTTTATTTTGTATATCATAGAACATACTGCTGTTTACTTTAAACCACTTTAGATTAAAGGCACACATTGTTAAAAATACTTCAAATTTACATCAGATGTACAAATGCATAAAGCAGATGTACATGTCACCAAAAAAATACAATATGGCTTCATAAGGTTGAGGTGGGGCTGGGACAATTCAACATATATTTAAAATTTAACAGGATGCTGTTAACACTGAAAGGACTGACTAGAACAGAAAAGAATGGATCTAACACCGATTATGTTACATAAATAGTGCAACACATTGAATATACAACATTGAGCATTCATGTATGGACTAAACAGGACTGTTAGTTCTGCAAATTCATCAGGCTTTCAAGTGCCACTGGGTAAGCAGTGTATGCTTATGATCTGCCAGTTTGCAATAGTGGGAAGATAGATTACAAATTCTCCATCCACAAACAGCCTCCTTGAAGAATCTGCTGATATGCTTTGTAAAAAAGGATAAAACAATAGACTTAAAATATAACTGCAGATAAAGACTGAGTAACAAAAGGACAGCTTACATGGTAATCATTTCTGGCTAAAAAGCATAAAATATTAAGTCTGCAAGAATGCTCCATGACAATCATTTAGCAATAGTCCCACCCAAGTTTAAGGCTCATTTTTCTAAAATTTACCTTAGATTTGTTTTCTTTTGTGTAAAATTACCTGAGTACAGATATCAAAGATCTGCAGAGCTTTTAAAATATCTGCAGATACCTTAAAAATCTGTAGATATCTTAAAGCAAAACATCAATATATTGAACTCTACCAGCTAGAAAGATCTCAGAAATAAAAAAACAATCTTTTGGTACGTCAGTAAAGCCAGGAGAAGAATGAGCTTAAGCGTTTGCTTTCATCTTTAAAAAATGTACACAAAATGTAATACAATTTTTCAAATAGGACTGCTTAATAGTAAACAATATATTAAACCTTTACAAAAAAAAGGAATCAAAATTCAGGCAGTCACTCAGGTTTTCTATAAACTGTTTACAAATGCTGCTTTTGATCTTGCTAGAGATGTCTGCTTTTTTCTTAAGCACTAATAGATGGAAAATAAAAGACAAAGGTCCTGACTCCACGGTATTTTCTATCATCCTTTACACTTTGTGTCAAAGTGGGAATTGCTGCCATTCTTATTTGCTAAGGTTTATTCCCTGCACAACTGTAAGGCCCTGATCCAGAAAAGCACCTAAGCATCATCTTAAGAGCTCTGCAGAATCAGGTTAGATTTAATAGTAGGCTTAAAGATAAACATGCACTTAAATGATTGCTGCACTGGGACCCATACAAATCACAAGGTGCAAGGCAGAAAAGCACAAGGTTGCATGGACAGACCAGCTCCCAGCAAAGTCAATGCCATTGTAAAGAGCATTAGACCCTCCATTTCAGTAAAAAAAAGGTTGAAAAAAGACAACACTGCAGATACATGCACACACTTTCGGCAAACAACAGACTGTGTGGGATTATTTCCAACACAAGCTTTGGAAATTTACCCTCTAAACAAAGCAGTTTGTTGATTGAATTGAACCAACTTAGGGAAAAAAAAAAAAAAACACCACCCACGCATCCACAAAACATCACCTTTTCTTCCTCCTGCCTCACACACCCTTTTCCCTTCTGTCTCCCCTAAAAAAGATTAGCATAGATATGAATGTCAGTCAATTAGCAATTGCATAGGAGCCTGAGGAGCAAGAGGGATTTTTTTGTTTAAATATATCATATTAGAATTTTGATATGACAATTAAAATTTGTACTGTTGGACTGGGACTAGCTGATTGCTATAAAGGGTACCCAAAGAATCCTATTAAATATTAGCCTAGAATTAAAAAAAAAAAAAAAGATGGATGATAGATAGTTATTCTGGAAAATTTTTAAAATCACAGCAGTTTGAAGTACCCATAATTCTTGGTATAAATAGCAAGCAACCCAAATAAAACACCACAGCTAGTTTGAAAAACTAAATTGAGCTTTGCTTTTCTATTAAATAGATTAAAATATTTATCCACTGAGAAATTATATTGATAAATAAAATATTTTCATGTATCAAAAATGAGGGGGGCAGGTGCTATCTATCAGTTCCAGACTTCTTGGCCCAATAATGAGAGGTCTGAGAAATACAAGTAAATTGTACAGTAGTTCTATTCTCTTAAATTTACAATACTGATTCCAGCAGGATTTGGCTAACTAATACAGATTAAATAACCTAATCTAAAGGAACAGCGTCCTGTAAACATGTGACACTAATCACACTGAATTTCGATGCTGTGGCTATACCCTCTCTATGCAGGAGAAAGAAAACTCAACTGGTAGCTGTAACAAGGGATGCAATCTAAAGGCAACACTTCTATTTATCAGTAAGGCTTGTAAAAAATTTGAGCGGTGTATGTATGACAGCCTGTACAATTCTGAAGTTTTTGGAAAGCTCTTAAGTTTAAAAAAAAAAAGTTTAACCATTTTAAGTATAAAACACTTACAGAGAAGATGTCCTTCTAAATTATGTGTAAAAGTGCCTGGCACCAGAAATGACCACTAGGTATTACCATACCTAAGAAAAATCCTAAAAATCACTCAGACAGGTGTCCCTGAACTTCTGAGCAGATGCACCTAATTATGCTACTCTGTTTTTCTGTTCCTCTGAAAAGAGTCATGAGCACATACTCTAAGCTGTCTGCACTACATCATCATTAATATATATTATATATACAGCATGTGTGTATATATATATATATAATATATATATTTGTGTATATATTTCATTTACCTCAATCCAGAATCATGTGCTTTCATGCAATACACTTACCAGGAATCAAACTTATTCATTAGATCATAGCTGGTGTAGCTTTTAGTATCAATACTTTATTACACAGCAATTCAGCTTTGTTCAGCATCAACCGTCTCTTTGACTAGAATCATTTCCCCTCTTCTATCAGTCCACTTATTTGTTGCCTCTAACATCCTTTTCAGCCACCTTCTTCATATAGTATCTCCACTTGATGTTCAACGCTGAGATCTTATTTCTGTCAGCTTCTGAAGACAGCTCTGTGCTGCTGGCATTGAGAGAATAAACTGAACTGTCCTTTGACCTATTCGGTAGCAGCCATATCCCATCAGTCCAAAAACTGTTGCTTTTAGGGCAAATCTAAAAATCTTACTTGAAGCTGATGGAGGAGGCACACTGAAACAAAAGATATAAAACAACGTTAACACTGCGTAGCTGGAAAAAGCAGGTATTTTCTGACCAAAACAGTGATCATTTCCCTTCCTTCCTTTCTAGGGCAGGACACCTTTCAGAGAACAGATGTCTTACGGACAAGCAATCTGTTCTTCCATGTTCATGGGCTACATCCAAATTTAAGCAATAGACAACTTCTCCACTTGTGCGGTGCCACTGTTAACGGCTAGGCTATCACTTACTCGTCACCCCATCAAAATTACCAAGATGACACCAAGACTTCTTGAGGAACACTAGAAATAAATATTGCTTGTGGAACTGTTCGTAACATTGCTACGCCTATCTCAGCATAGAGCAAAAATTCAGAAGAAAGGTAGGCCAGTGCAAATCCAACATCTGTGCAGTCAACTTGCTGTCCTTCAGGGTAACGGAGGAAGGTGGAGCTTGGATACTCTGGGTAACGGGTACGCTTGCACGGGATCTGCTCCAATTCACGTGTCTCTGTGTGATATGGCCAGTCCCAGAGATGTCTGGGGTCAGCCTGGCCTTGGCAGATTCAGGGAGCTGTTTCAGCAAGGTGCGCCCCGGGATGCCAGGCAGCCGAGCTAGCCCAGTTGCAGCTCCCAGTGCAGGCCAGAGAGGCTTCACGTGAAGCCATCTTGGGCCTGGCAGATATTGTTAGCTCGGCATCCTCACAGAGCCACTCAGGAACTACTGCACTGGGCTCCAGGCATTGCGAGGGCAGCACAAAAGCACACCAGCTCTACCTGTGCTTGCAAGCAGTGTTACTAGCATAGTGTATTAGGCAAACAGGAATGCTACTTTCAAAAATTAAGCTGGCTCCGAAAGCAGAGCCATATGCATACAGTCCTGCTCCTTAACTAATAGGCTCTGCAGTACTTCAGCAGGCTCCGCACACACAGCATGCGCTCATTACAACACAAGCACTCCTCTCACAGGGGATAGAGAGCTCCTCCTATGCGGCTTCAAAGGATTCTCAAGTTTTCTCATTTATTTATATCCGGAAAACACTTCTAATACATTTACAAGCAGTTACTGTAGTGCAAAACCATTACAGGCACAACAAAACCAGGCTAGGTGTGCTAACAGGAGATAACTTGACTAAGTTTGCTCTAGTTTCAGTAGTAACTTCAGACCCGTTGGCTTAAGAGATCTTGCATGTTAAAGGAGCATACAAGAAAAGTTTGAGAGGAGCATACACATTGAACAAAGGATGGGGTAAAACAACCCTTTATACCTTCTTACACTCCTCCTCTATTCTTCCTCAGTTTCAGTCCTTCAGTGAGTATTTAAATAGTATAACCTGAAGCAAACAGTAAGATCTGCCTAGGGTCAGGTTTTATGTGAGAACCTAAAAATTGGAAGTGTGTGGCAAACGTGTTTTTATTTAGACCATTTTCGAGATCATTTTGCAACTTGTAAAACATAATTAGGTCCCTGTAATATCTTAGGAACTTCTCACTTCAGGGAGATGGCAATCACTAACACAAAAAGCTTAGTTTTGTTCTGCAATTGCAATGCAACAACACCAGGGGAAAAAGAAAAGATTAACAAGAAACGGGGGCCTTAAAATAATCTGAGTGTCATCTTATGAATTTCATTTGCTTTGCATTATTTATATTTTATACCATTTTAGACAGTCAAGTTCATGTAATGTTAGCATCATATGAAAGACACTGGCAATCCTTCCACTTAAGTTATGGCACTGGCATGGTAAAGACAATCAGGTCAAAGAGCCTGAATGTTGATGGAAAGGACCCTATATATAAACGTGAAGACTAGTCAGGCTTTAGGCCGTTCAATTCTATAACGTCAATGTTGCAACCAGTATTAACCATACAATTACAGGGATTCTGGCAACCCCGTTTTGCGGGCCATCTAAGAGGCTGCTCAGAACATCCAAGAGGCAGGCAGTTTTCTGGATGCCTAGGAAACATTAAGCGGAAAAGTAGACTTGAAAACAGTTAGGCAGGGCTTCGGTACATTGCATTCTTGGATGTGGATACCAAAACTCCCCTTAAGTAATATTTCAGATCCCTAAATATCCTGTTTAACACGGCTATAGCTGCTTTCCCCCCCTAATTCACAGCCTCTTATAAAATGGGAATACTCCATAAGGTGCTTATATAACACAGTAAGCAGATGTGATAGAATGAAGTGCTAATTTTTGAAAGGCTCTATTATGCTAAACCTACTGCAGATCACTAACACCAGGCTGTATTATAATCTTTCCTATATTTCTCAAGTCCTGACCCTTGTGGCTTTATAGGATACACACAGTCTGAACATTTTGGTTCTTCAATTTCTCCTTCTATAAAGCAGACACCATATCTATTTTAGTAAGTACTTTTAAGCAAGATGTTCCAAGTATGTGGCTTAAATCAGCCCATAATTAAACATAAGCTTTAAAAGATCATATTACTTACACATACCGTGAAAAATAGGTTACGACCGTGATTTTATGCTTACCAGAGCCAGCAGTGCTCTGACACTATAAAAAGCTTTGAAACCAGCAGTTTGTATTTACCTAAGTTAGAGTGAAGCCTGTTTTCGCCTCTGCCACCTCCTACAAGCCTCATTTGTATTCTGATTTTAAAAGCCTCAGACATGGATTGAGATATTTTCTTTCTAGACGATGTTATTGTCTCATCTCGCAATTAGCCTGGATATCCAACCATTTACTTTTCCTTTAACAGTTCCTTTTCCTCTACTGTAAGCACAATCTTCAAGCATTACGCAGCAAGTCAATGAGCTGAAGGGGTAGGGATGACGGTAGCAATGTTTCTTTAAGCTGTGACAAATAACCAAAAAAATCACGGCTAACTTTCAGCAAGAGGAGCTGGTAACCTCAACACATAGGAGAGGATAACTGTTACCTCATTATTTCCTGGATGTTTAAGTCAGAGTTCCAGTTCTTTTCGATTCCAGGTACGTGACCCATCCCAACAACACCAACTACAACAGATGGGATGTATTTTCTAGGTTCAGCTAAAAGGAGAGATGGAGAGAAAGGAACACATCAGTGAAAGAAGTAATTGCAAGCTATAAAGATAAAGGGAATGTGTGAGATTACAAAGCAGAATTTTCCAAGAGGCAAGTACCTGTCACATCACATATTAAAACTTAATGTTATGCAGTAAAAGTTAATACTTATCATTTCTCCTACTGCCTCTTGTGTTCCAAGTCTGAATGAATTCACTGCGATGTCTGGATTTTCAGGAAATGTTCATTCTAGTAAACAAAATGGACCAGGGCTTGTACTCCAGCCTCAGGGTGAGCGGCTCAGCAGGGCTTTACAGCTAAATTCCTTATGTACTGCTTACTGGGAACAGCCCTGGTCTTTGCTGTCTCCTGAGCAGTCTGCACAACTCTGGACAGTGGTAGCTGGCATGCATCAAAATTGTGCCAAGACATGGGCTAACATATAAGCAGAACGAACAATCAGAAACAGTGCTCGAGACCACAGCTAGCCCTGTTTCGTTTGCTGGTGCAGCAGCAGGCTAGAAAGTCAACATTAGACCGCTCTAACATGTGCCAGCTCTCATCCTCCCCTCCAATCCAGGATCAACGTTCCACAACGCCCACTAGAAGTGAAAATGTTGTTCCTGCGCGTTTCGGGATCACCACTCCCCCAATATATTAAAAAAAAAAAAGTAATTTCTGCCAGAGTAAAAATAACTCACAGAAAGTTTTCTTTGTAGTAAATAATAATTGCTTTTCTTCTGGTTTTGGGGTGGGGCAGAAAAAATAGATATATACATAAATATAAAATGTAAGTGAGAAAATACATTTAGAAGACATTCTGAAATGTCTGGCAGAAAACAACTGTCAATTCACAGTCTTGCTTTAAATACCCATCCCCAGTCTTTGTAGAGAACACAGAACAAGGAAATTCAAAAAGCAGTTCCCCCTGCCGTGAAATGAAACCTAACTATTAAAAGTATCCAAAACTATTTACACATTTTCAACAAAGTGAAAAGAAACCATTTCTCTGAACTCGCCTTTTCTCAACCTGTTTTAGGGCTTCTCTAGATCAGCTGCAACTGCAGGAGAGGCAGACCACAGTGCCTCAGCAGAACGCACTGTCCCCAGTACGCTACATCAGCTCCAGCCTCTACTCTTATCTTATGCTATCTGCTCGTGGGCAGACTTCGAGGCTATAACCAATCATGTTTACACAGACTGATCTGAAACAGCACCTGAAGCAGCTTTATCCCTCTCTCAGAATATTCTACGCAGAGTAAAGATGGAATGAAAAAATACATTTCAAAGTTTCACATGCAAGCTCTTTGGAACAGTTCCCCAGGCAAAAAGTCAGAGGCCAAGCCTAGGAAGAGATCATGCCTAGTTAAGGAATAAAGCATATCAGAAGTAAGTTTCAGTACTGCAAAGAGCATCCTGGAACTTCCCCTGATCAGGTCCCTATAATAGGAAAGGATTTGGACAGTGATGATGATGCTCTATTTCTGCTCATTGCAATTATGGGATCTGGTCTTTTATTAGGAACCTTAAGTAAATCACTGGGCATTCTTTTTTCTTTTTGCCTTACACAAGCACGAGTGCATGGAGCAGATTTTACATATGTATATATGCACAGCTTCTAAATGAAATCATCTCCGGTATTGTTTCTTATTTACCAGGAGACTGAAACTGAGGTCTGTCAGTCAGGTTGCTCCTCACATTCTTATCTTCTGTGGCCCCATCTTCCATTTTAAATCCTTCAAATCCATATAAGCCCCCTCCACACCTACAGACATCCACTAAACCAGTTACCTGAAGACCTATCCTATAGTTTCTAAGAAGTTAGGTTTAGAGAGTGGGGGGTTATGATCCAGGACTGATAAAAAAGCTAAAAACTCAGTCTGCTCCTTGGACAGTGTGACTGAACGCACACGTGCCTTTTTCAGCTGTACCAGCTGGGCCAACAGGAGATACCGTGTGTTCTGACGCACCTTATCATGGCAGTGCTGAGGTAAAACCAGACAAGGGAGATGCAAGAATATAGGTGCAGTCTCCCCATTATTAATTTTTTTTCAAATCACAAGACAGTATCAGAAGTTTTGCCCTGAAGTGATTACAAATAGTATCTTCTTCAGACAGCAAACAAAAGGTAACCTATACCTTAGCATGCTTATAAACCCCAAGGGCAATCCCAACATGCTTTCAAAGGCCAGACAAATACAATACCCTATATGCCCATACCTCACTCAAGTATGCAGAACCTGTGTGTGTTATGACATGAGTGTTTCCAGCAGCCCAGTTCATAATATGAAGCGAGATATGAAGAACACTGCAATTAGAGGCAATTAGTTTAGCAGAAAATCTGTTCCTGAGCAGCTAATGGTGACAGTGAATTTGCTGGGATAAGAGGTGGAAGTGAGACAGGCAACATAAACCTAGCATGCCCCATGCTGTGCTGCAATACTAGACGCCTGCCTTTTTCAAAGTTTGTCAGGCTGCTTGGTATTTTCCAGTTTTAAATAGCACAACGAGAAAGAGATCACGTTTCAGAGTTAATTCCTCTAAGAAAATTCTTACTTCTAGAAGAGATCATTGTAACAGAAAAAAAAAAAAGAAAAAAGAAAAGTGGTATTATTGTTCTTTAAGCACTGTAACCTTCTGCGACATGTGGCATCTGTCTCCAAAATAAACCCACGGAAAATTCAGTTCTTCTCAGGAAACCTGGAAGCTGTGGAAAGTCCCACTGAGAACACCTTGCTGGTTATGGTATTTACTATAAAATAATTACTTTCTGAAGCTCGAGGTAGTTCTATCTGCTTTGCTGCTTGCTTCAACATGTAGGTCAAGTAAATATCTCGTTCCGAGACGATTGTTCGATGAAGATCAGGAAATTCTCCAATCATTTCTGCCATCATCTGCTCCAGTAAATCCTTTTGTTTGCATTTCTCCACATCATCTTTACTGAAAGAGATAAAAGTTTTCTCAGTATCTATTTAATGATTTTTAAAGCCCAACAGAGACAGACTAACAAAAAAACCCTGTAACTTCATGGGGTCAACCATGTTTACGCATAAATACACGCTTTACAGTTCTCCTCTCCAAAATGAAAACAATCTCCCTAAACCTGTAAAACTGGATACTTAATGCCTCTGAAGTCAGGAAAAGACAAGAGAGGTCATTTGCCTTTAGGCAGTTCAACTGAATGGATTTTCACCTTCACCAGTTTGAAGACTAACAACTAAACTGAGCAAAAGCACAGAGAATCAAAAGTAGTAGTAATCACGGCTCCCCACTTCTCAGTGTATGCTAATAAGCTTAAAAGAGGCAACGCAGAGCACTCCTGAGGAAGTGGATCTGATCACCCAACACACAGAAGCTGTATTTAAAACATAAGAATAAGAAAAACACACACACACACACACACTGTAAGGCACAGAGGCAGTCTGAAGAGATGCAAACAGTTCTGCAGGTTTCTAGCATCAATCACAGGTCTTCAGCAGGGAAGTCAAAGTTATAGATTTTTAATTTCTTGAACAGGAAAATGTAAAATGAGTCAGAAATAAAGAGGGTAAGAAACGGAGGAGCAAACATAATGAGTTTATATCTTTTACAGGTGCCATTAACCTTGTTTGCTCCCAAGGTTGTGATACAGTCATAGTTTGTAGCAAGGTGAGTGGTTTTGCATCACTGTCTACTGAAGAATGATTCCACCATATGCTTTCTTTACTCAGCTTCCGAGATCAAAAGAAACACTACAAATAGAAACGGGGACAACGAAAAGGAGAAGAAACACATTGCCAGCTTTCAACAAATCACCCAGACTGACAAATTTGGTGTTCAATTATTACTCCATTTTCAGGAGAATCACATACTGACAGCTCAGTGATCATGTCTACACAATACATCTGCACACAACCTCCTAATAAGGAAGGACGATTATAATCTACTCCTACCCACGTTATTCTTAAAATCATAAATTTCACAGATCAACTGTACGACAATTTTTGGATGTTATTACATCCAAATTTGAAGTTCATCTGTATGAGAAGTTAGCATTCGTCTACCATAATTATGTTAATATTGCAGTTGAAAACTGAAATCTTCTCAGGATAAGTGAAGAAATGGGAGAAGTTGCAGAGAAATAAATCCTTCAGTGCCCACCAAAAATCTGTAAATAGTTTCACACTTGTATCAGACTAATAAGTAATAAAACTTACTTTCCATATGAACTGCAGTTAATGGACAGAAAGACTCATTTTATAGCTGAACGTAATAGCAAGCGTTTACAGGAAACAACAATAAATAAAAGTCAAAACTGGATCAAGGCTGTCTTGACTGTTCCTACTATAGTTTGAGTCCTGAACCAATTTTAAATGCCTGAAAAATTAGCATAGTTCACTTCACGAGCTGTGCATAGATCCAGTCTATGCACAGGGAACAAGGCAGGCACTGAGGTTCAGGGACGACATGTATTGGCCACCAGTTTCTGGTAAACCTATCACCGCTGCAAGTCTGTCAGGAGCACAAGGAACTTAGGAGGATAGCTGGGCATACGTTCTCACCCAGCCCAAGCAAGTTCTCTCACACTTACTCGGGGCCAGAAGCAGAAAGGAAATAAATTTCGCACAATGCTTTCGCACAAGGGCAGAGGAAACCAAACTGAGCAAGAGAATAACTGTCTGAGAAGTATTACCATAAGGCAAAAGTTCCTAACAACAATTCCCTTTTATAAAGGGGCGTTGTTATTAAGTCAGACATGTTGCCCACAAAGTTTAAATGTTCTCTCTTGTTCCAAAAATCTGCTCAGACCGCAGACGACGTTGATTCGGCTCTCAAGCTTCCCTCGTCCAGAGGTGACTTAGCATAGCAGGCCCCAAGTCCTTTGGAAACCTTAAATAAGTATATGTTAGCACAGGGAAGCCCTACTCTCTTCCATTTACAAAATCCACAATGGCAGTGGGAAAGGTTTTCTGTTCGGCATAAAACTGAAAAAAATTTTTTTTGTTTGCTTGCTTGTTTGTTTTAGTAAAGCTAGGAAATCTCCAGCACTGAATCCCTAGCTTCTGCAATATTATCCACAACCTGAAAGTACTGAATCAAAAAAGGATGGAACACGATGTTAGCCTTTTTAAAAACACGGTAAGTTAGAGGGTAGTTTGTATATTTATCCTTACTAATTTAAGGGTTCATTACATCAGGCTGTGCACTGAGGACTTTCGGCTCCTGCTAAAGTCAAACTGAGGAGTTGAACAATTCACCCTTGATAAACAGATGGGATACATATTCATACCTGATTGGATCAGATAAGAAGCAAAGGCCCCAAGCAAGCTTGACTTTTTGCCAGAACGAAAGTGCAGCAATTGCTCTCTTAAACGTAACAGGGATGGGCCTGTCTCCGAGATGAAATTTGCAGAAAGGTACTTTGCTAGCCTAAAAGAGAAGAGACAGATTACCACGTAACATTCCACATTACAGCACTGTGCGTCGTCTTATGTTATCCGAGGTGCCGCAAACAAACAAAAAAGGGCAAAGCAGTGTCATAATTCAACACTAAGAAAAAGTTATTTGCTTTTCAATATACTACTTCATAAAGGAATACATCAGCCATGAGTTTAAGTCATTTATAGTAAAAATATAAATTGTAATACCATCCTTTTTTTTTTTTTTTTTGCTTTACTGTTTCCCAGATAGAAAGCTCCTGCTTATGACTACTTTAGGTATTCAGCCCTATCCGTTTACCTATCTAGATCTGAATAAACTCCCAAGTAAAATGACTTTGATCATTTTGCCTAAATTTAACTAGGATTTGTCAGGATCAAACCTGTCAGACCTTTTGTGATTACAGAGTAAATTCAGAGCTGAAGGAGCTTATAAAACAAGAACTAACGCCAGATACCACATAGCAAGGCCAGGTGAAATTTTGCTAAAATATTTGTCAACCTAAACTCCATTACAGTACTACTAGAAAACTCCTTGTTAAACATACAAGTATTAAAAAATTTCAAGTAACCATTTTAGAAGACGACAGAGACGATATTATTTTAAATGCTGTTTCTGGGAAAAAAAAAAAAAAAACACAATTTAAGTCTGGTCCAGAACACTCAGGAAAATGGGCCTTTGAAACAATTTTATTTTTACTAAGGATAAATAGACAGAATTATTCCAGAGTCTTTGGCAGCTAGAGCGTGTTCCACCATTTGAGATTTCCTTGCTAGCAGCTAACTCAGATAATCTAGAATGATACATTCTGGAAGGTGGATACATACAGTGGAAATAGCCTTTCAATACTTTCAAACAACAACAAAAAGTGGCTTTAACCCACAGCAGAAGTGCAGCTGCTATTTACTTCCCAATACTGCAGCTGGCAGTAAGACAAGAAGGCATGGTAAAAGAACAGGTAGGACCAAGACCAGTGAGATATTCTGCTTCCCCATACAATCTTTTTGGATGAATGCATTAGATCTCATTAATGCCATAGAGACAGTTTCCCCAGGTTGAAACCCTGACACCACCACCAGTGGGACCAGGATCAATACCTAAAATTTTCATTACCATATAGTCACTGGATCCAATTAAGAACATAAGTATTCAGTTCAGAGAAATATACATACATCAGGATGATAACCTTAGAAAGGTTCAGCTTTTATCCTAAAAAATGAATTATCATTTGCTCCATGAATCACTTCCAGGGGTCAGATGCATTTGCTCCTCTGTTATCTAAACTAACTAGTCATCCAGTATATTGGTACACTCAGTGGAGGAGGAGAAGGGAGGGAGGAAAGCCACTACTAGATAGCTCCCTAGAAGGGCATACTGGTGCCTCCAACAGCTATCGGGACAGACTAAACACTTAATTTCTAAACAGCTTAAATTAATTGAGGTGCATAATTCTACTATGTATCACTGACAACTAAAATTATTTGGGAAGTTAGACATTACTATTACTTAAATTGTAGCTCCTGATGACTGATGGGCACAGTTTTTACGTATCCTCACAAGTTATCAAGCACATCCCAAAAGAATAGCTTAATATTTAGCTTATTATATTCTATATCTATATTCTATATAGATTATAAAAACCTATATTACATATAGATTATAAAAACCTAAAGACAAATTACAAAAATGCCCTGAAACAGTAAGTCTTCAAGCAGTATAGCCTAAACCAGATACTAGCAAGTCTTATTTTACTTAAGACAAACAAGCCGGGTTTAAAAACAAAACAAAAAAACCACCCTTCAAGTTTCAAGAAATGAAAAAGAGAAAAGAACCGTTGACAAGCACAAATTTTCTTTACCAGCTATGACCTTTTTTTTTTGGTTTTGCCTGGACTTTAACATAAAAAACACAAATATTTTTCAATAAAGCCTGCCACATCCCACCTTGGAACATAGGGGTGCCTAACAGCAAACAGTGATCTGGTAAACAGGACAGTGTTGCCCTCATGACAGACTGAAAACAAAACAACTCCCCAACCTTCTTCTGGAAGAAGCTTAAGACAGACAAACTGAAGGCATGGTTGGGGGCATTTGTTTGAGAGACCCAGGTAAATTAAACCAAAAGCTAGACAAAGATATTAACTTGTGTAGGCATGGGGTGGATGACCACAAAAACTGAACAGTAAGACAGAGACAACTAACCAAAACAAATCGCTAGACTCCTCAGTTTCTGTTAGTGGACTTACTGTTACGATTTCACTATCCAACAACAATTATTCAACAAGAACAAAATTAGCAAATTATTAATAAAACTAAAACAAATGCCATTAACATATCATCAGGAAAAAAACTTAATATTTAAAGCCTTTTTGGTGCTTCCTTTGTATCACTCAAGGCTACAGACCTCGGCAGTTTTGAGTATACTTTGAAGCTGAAGATAACTCTTACCTCATAGGCTTCAGAAAAAATACCGCCAGAACACTCTTTTCCAGTAACTAACAAAAGCCTTTATTTAGTTTGACTCTGGGAGCAAAAGGCCAGTAGTTTGACCTCAAAGAACCATTTGAAGTCCTCACCTCTTTGAAAGCCTCCCTGAATTCTCCGCCTGGGGCCATTCCCAGCTGTTCTGTGATGTGAGCAGAGACTTTCAGAAGCAGCATTTGCATCAATCCAGACATGACTCCATTCTGGTGGAAAAGGGAGAAGAACATTAAAATGAAAGCCAACTAGCCGTTTGGATTTCTCAGAAGAATGCACTGTTCACAATCATAAAAAAACATTAACTACCCTTGGTGAAGAAAAATACTGGAGCTACCCTTTGGAGCCAATTCAGTGATCAATACAGCCCTTTTATTTCAGCTTCTATCATTTGTAAAGCAGCTTTTCACCTCAGCATATAAGCAAGATATTTTCCCTTTCAACAAAAAGGCACTACAGCAAAGGCCAGCAAGACTGGCTGCTTTTCTTCCTATTCCACCTGCTTGAAGGAAGTGTCTGAATAAGTGAATGATAAAACAGCTCATACTGTACATTTATTTTTTCCTTAACCTCCCCAATTAGAAAAGAAGCCAGACTATAAGAGTACATTGCACTGAATGTATACTGAATTCTATATTATAGGGATGCTGAAGGGGAAATATCTAGTGGTCTAATCATAAACACTCTCACAATCCCAGGGAAACACTGTACAGAGCACTAGTCGAGTCAGCAGCTGCAGAAACACTGAGCATGAATTCTTGTGCAAGAATTTGTTGTGCACGATTTCAGCACATGAAACCTTAGGAAAACCCTCAAAGTCCTGGGTATGAGTCACTCCCACAAGCACACTGAAGACATCTCGTGCAAAGGCTAGAGGCTGGAAACTCCCTCTCACACCTTAAAATAAAGGGGAGGGGGGTGAGGAGCCTCTTACATATGTTTCTCCAAGTTTTCCTTTTTATTCTTTTTAAAGAAATGAAAACACCTCAGTTCAGTTCTAGTTCTTCCTGAACCAGCAATTCTTAAGGACTGAGACTCAGTGGCTGAGTGTTACTTACCCCCAGGGGCAAACCAAGCCTGGTTATGCATCCCCTGCAACTTGGCATCACTCCATACTGCTGCCACAACAGGCAGTCTCCCCAACTCCTTCCCCAAAGGTTTCCTGCTGGATCAGCTGCTCCACATGACTGAAGATAAGGTTAGAGGGGATAGCTGGAGTTAACATAACTGCCTGAAGTCAGCAGAGGAAGGTGCTGGTTCCCTTCCTTGCTCCCAGTGCCATGCTCGGATGATGCACCCAGTGCTAGCTCTGATGCTTGCGTGACCTCTCCAAAGGAAGTTGCAAGTATTCTGCAGTTAAGTGAATTGTAGAATCATTGAGGACCAGAACGGGCAAAAGAGCGGGGCTACTTTCAAAGCCAGTTGAGTGTTTAACCATGCCACAAACCAGAAAGCAGGGCATGTTGAAAGAACAACTGAATGACAAACAGGAGTAGGAAGCCACCTAAGCAGAAAGACAGAGCATGGGGCTCCTGGGGACAGACGAGGAAGAGGGCAATGAGAAGCAGTTTTCAGCACTCTTGAGATTCAGTTCAAAAGCCCTGAGGACAAGAGCTTCCAGAGGCTTAGAAAAGATCCCCACAAAGAAAACGAAAACTAAGGTAATGCAGGCTGAGATCCCAGAATCACAGAATGGCCAAGGTTGGAAGGGACCTCTGGAGATCATCTCGTCCAACCCCCCTGCTCAAGCAGGGCCACCTAGAGCACGTTGCACAGGATCGCGTCCAGATAGCTTTTGAATGTGTCCAGGAAGGGAGACTCCACAACCTCTCTGGGCAACCTGTGCCAGTGCTCTCTCACCCTCCCAGGAAAGAGGTTTTTCCTCATGCTCAGACAGACCTTCCTGTCTTTCAGTTTGTGCCCGTTGCCTCTTGTGCTGTCACTGGGCACCACCGAGAAGAGGCTGGCCCCATCCTCTTGACACCTTCCCTTCAGACACTTGTACACATTGATGAGATTCCCCCCCCCACCCCAGTCTTCTCTTCTCCAGGCTGAACAGGCCCAGCTCTCTCAGCCTTTCCTCATAGGAGACATGCTCCAGTCCCCTCATCATTTCGCAGCCCTCTGCTGGACTCTCTCCAGGAGTGCCATGTCTCTCTTGTCCTGGGGAGCCCAGAATTGGGCACAGTAGTCCAGGTGAGGCCTCCCCAGGGCTGAGGAGAGGGGCAGGATCACCTCCCTCGACCTGCTGGGAACCA